GAAAATTACGTCAAAAATGTTTATTGGCATGGTTACTTTATTTTCGTATATATGTCGTTTTATACAAATATTTAATTTGAATTATTTTTTACATAATATTTGCAACGAGGTAGTAGCTACTAACTACTACTTTTAAAATATAATTTTAATATATTTTCCAAAATGTGATACATAATAGACTATTTTCTACTCCTATTACGGAATTTGACCCTTCTAATATCACTTTTATCTATGGAATGACATATATTCCGTAAAGTGTTACAGAATGAAATATTCTATCATCTGATGACAGAATAAACACTTGTGGCTGTTTTTAATATCTAACAAATTTTAGACCGATCCAACCTCACTTTCTTCCAATTAAATTATTTTTCTGTGGTATTTTTTGGAAACGTAGAAAAAGTATAGTCTGAAAAACGTTTGGAATTGCATATTCCGCTCTCGTGAAACCGTCAAACTCGCCTTCGGCTCGTGTAACAAACTCTTCACTCGAGCGGAATATGCTGTATTCCAAACTTGTTACAGAATATACTATTATAGTTCAAATTTGATGCATTAATGACAAAAACTCATTATAGTTAATATACTACATTTTATTAAAATATTACGACAAAAATAATATTTGCAACTAGGTAGTAGCTACTAACTACTACTTTCAAAATATAATTTTAATATAATTCCCAAAATTTGCATCTTCGTCTTTATTTTATTAAAATTTTAACACAATCACTCAAAAAAATAAATGCTTAAAAACAAGAAAAATGACATTTAAATTAAAACAAGTCGTTCTTCAAAATGGCCCAAGCACAAATTATTCTTATTTTGAGAATAATTGAAGAATGTTTTTTCTTATTCTGAAGTATAGAATGAAAAGTTTAAATTAACACATCATTCTTAAAAGACGAACTACAAATGCTAGCTTTTAGAATTAACTGCTTAAAGGTTAACATTTCATACATTCTTGATTTACTGAACACAATCTTAAATTTAAAGAATAGCGTTCTTAATTTTAGACTAAGTAATTATTAACTTTAGAATGAAAATGTTTATTTTAAGAATGGGGATTTTCTTCATTTAATAAACAAATTCTTAAATTTTGAGAATAAATATTTAATTTGAAAATAAAGGTTCTTAATTTTAGACTTTAAAGATTTTAATTTAAGAATGGAGATCTACTTGATTTAAGAACAGTCTTATATTTCAAGATTTAATACTGCTTAAATTAGAAAAAATCGTTCTTAATTTTACATTTTAAAATTTTCAAATTAAGAATGAAGATTTTTTTTATGTAAGCATACTTACTTCTTAATTTAAAAATAAAATCTTCTTTATTTTAAGCTTTTGATTTCCTAATTTTAAAAGAAACATTTTTAAGATCTCATTTATACAAGTTGATAATATATTATAAGATCTTTGGTGATTGCGGTTATGTATTTTGTATTAACATGCATAAACCCATTTGAACAAGAACTTCATATTTCTAAAAATTTAACTAAACTAAATTAACTTCTGCATAATCCTGGACCTAATCTTCCTAAATTTTGTATTTCTTATATTTTTATTGAAGGTGTATATATAGGTTGGTAACAATGCTTAAAACTATGCTTTCATTTAAAAGTAAGTTTATTTAATGCTTTATACATATTCACAATAAAACAAATCAACTTTAAAATAAACGTACATACACTTACGTAAAAACTTAATAACTAATGAGCATCCTAACAATCCTATTTAAAGTAGTAATATATGACTATATATAGAACGCAAATTAAGATAGTCTATGGACTATCTTAATTTTTGATGCATTTCGTAAATTTTCCATACCCATGGGTATAGTATATGTATAAGTATTAAACAAAAATTTGATATATGTCCGTTAGACATAAAACAACAAATAAAAAATGGTTCACATTTGTTATAAAAACTTAGCTAAGTTTTCTACATTTAAACACTATAGAATTATTTGGTAACAAATGTAAATAAAACGGATTACACTTAAAATACCTTAGAGATTTTATAACGAAGCTCTTCTTTCACACCTACATGACACCTGTTTTTGTCGTACTTTTCTACTTTATAGGTCCATAACACTGCAAAAGCTTGATTATCAAAAAATAACAGTTCTTTAACTATCAAAGTGGAGTAAATTTTTCATATTGGCAGTAGGTATTTCACTATTCACTAAGTTATCACTTCACGTGTTTCCCTATTAGAAGTGAACATAATTAGGGTCTCGACTCTAGTATTTTCGGGAAAAACTAGCCCGAAGCGCGGTACATTCCAATTTAAATATCTATAATGATTTCTAGTAGGCAATCGCAGAGGCTTGTGTGTTTCTCTATGGTTTTAACACTCACCAACACATCACAACTTAAAATGCGCTCAATAAACACTAAAAGCTTTAGTGAGTTATTACCGGCTGTTTCATTAAAAAGATTTTTACTCTTTATTTGAAAATAAAATTCTTAAAAACTAGAAAATCTATTTTTAAATAAAGAATGCCATACTTGTTTTAAAACTGTCCATACACAAATTAAGAATGAACATTCTTGAACAATTGAAGTTCTCTATTGAAGAATGCATTCTTAATTCAAAACTTGTTGTATGATAGTTTTAAAATGATACCTTTTTAAAATAAGAATAAACATTCTCGCAATTCTAGAAGTTTTTCATTGAAGAATGCATTCTTAATTTCAAAGTTGTTGTGAAATAGTTTTAAAACTAAGCGTTCTTAATATTGAGAACAAGCATTCTCACAATTCTTAAGTTCTTTAATAAAGAATGCATTTTTAATTTAAAACTTCTTGAATGATAGTTTTAAAATAGGACGTTCTTAGAAGTAAGAACAATAATTCTCACAATTCTTAAAGTTCTTAATTAAAAACTGCTTTCTTAATTCAAAAACGCTGTTTATTAATTTCAGAATAAGATGTTTTTAATGTAAGACCTCAGGTTAAACTTATTCTTATTTTTTTAATAGCATGTTTTAATCTATTTATTCTTAAACTAAGAATAATATATAGTCAAATTAAGACCTAAAAACTAAAAACGAAAATTTTATAGCTTAAATTGAGATTTTGCTCTATGCTCCATTTAATGCATGTAATCTTAAAAAAATCTAGGGAAGGATTTCTCTGAGTGATCAAACAAAAATGGAAGAAATGAAAATGGAATCTGGATTATATCAATAGAAACATACCCAATAATTGAAATTGCTTTTTTCAGATAGACATGTGGTCTTATATCATTTGTAAATCACACAAATTTAGCCTAAAGAATCCAATCTAAATTGTAGGAAATCTCTTTTGTTATTACAGTAATTTCCAATGCTTCTGGCAGTCACTGTAGGTAGTAATAAGTGCATCAGCTGTAAAGTAAATTGTAATCCTATTCGATACTTTTTCTTTATTTACATCTTAACTTCCTTTACTTTATTGTATTGGCAATTAAGTTATTACTTTAATACTCATTTTACACCTTATCTTTTTATATAGGTAAATATTATTAGAAATGGATTTTTATTTACAGTACTTTTACTCTAACCGTGTATAACTGTAACTTTAGCTTTTTGCTGCAATTTAAATACAGGGTGCACCAAGTATCCTTCTATACTATACTTCTGATATTGAAAAATTGGTTTCTGGAGACCTAAAAATTAAAAGTAAGATTCTCCTCATTGAAATTTTCAATGTTCACATTTTTTATCTCATTAACAAATAAATAAAAAGCCAAGCCAAAACAAATTTTTATAGTTGAATCCTCATAAAAAATCTGGTGTTTTTGTCTTAAAAACTTTTTTGATAAATGTAAGCGGTTTCCTGCGCGCAAAATAATAATAAGCTTTTTTTAATATAAAATATATCACGTATGGTCTAGGCACTAGACTCTAGTGGTTTTGACAGAGGTTTTTTGAGCTTTTTCCCTGAATAATTTATTGATATAGATATGGTAATGTAATAAATGTTTTACCTAGGATGCTCGGGTTCGATTTCCAGTACCGGAAATAAATATTTTAATTACAATTGAAAGAAAAGTTTTTGTCGATTTTTTTAAACGCTTATAAGCGTATAATAATAATGTATACATTTATCGAAAAAATAAAGAAACATTCTTGTAGATCAGTTAATTTTTTACAAAAATTATACCAAAATCCCTACTATTCTGGTAGATAAAGAATTAATTTTTTTTTAAGGCTTTTAAAAACTTTGACCCAAGATATGTTTTGAATGACTATATATGTTTACGAAAACAACAAAGCATATATTTTTTGTGGATTTGTTAAAAATAAAGAAACATTCTTGTAGATCAGTTAATTTTTTACAAAAATTATACCAAAATCCCTACTATTCTGGTAGATAAAGAATTAATTTTTTTTAAGGCTTTTAAAAACTTTGACCCAAGATATGTTTTGAATGACTATGTTTACGAAAACAACAAAGCATATATTTTTCGTGGATTTGTTATTAAGATATAATTTTTTTATAACTAATAACTAATGTAAATATTAAAAAATTGTAGATTTTTTAAATTTCGTTATTCCTGTGAATTAAAAAAAATTACATTGGATTGAAGTGTAGATAATTATTTAATCATTCAAATCATTTAAATGTGTATATTTACAAGTAAAAATTACTCAAAAATTCCCAGGAATAACTAAGTTATAACGATTTTTGGTTTTGACACGTTTTTAGTCTTTTTCAAATATTTTGTGCACCGCTGGTTTTTCTCTGATATAAGTAAAAATATGTTTTTCATTTGCACTTTTGCTGGTAGTCCTGTATATATAAACTCTGGAGTATTCGCCATTTTATGAATACCAACGTTTTACTTCCTAAATAGTTATTTTTACCAATGTATCTCGAAACTCGTCACTGTAAAATCACACAAGCTTTGTGTTTATGTGTTATGTTGATCCCCTTCTAATTGAGGGGCGCACCGAAAAACAATATAAAAACGGACTTGTGATTGTTTTCAGTACAATCAGTTCAGTGCAGCAGCCCGTCCTGTTTGATTCATTGCAGTGAAGGTACATTTCATTACCTAAGCAATAATTAATAAAATGTTTATTAATTACTAAGTGCTTATGATATTTTTTTTTATTGTTTTAGTAGTAGGTATTCTGCATCAGCCATGTTCAGGTTCTTAATCGTCTTAGTTTGTCTAAGTAAGTACATATCTTTAACAAAATTATTAATTAAATTATAAATTAAATAATTAATTAAGTATTTATAACTTTATAACAATAAAAACCAATTATTGGTATTTTTTTTAAATGGATAAAATTGATCAAAAGATTTACAAAAAAGATGTATGTAGTAAACTATCTTTATGTATACAATTTGATTTAACATTTTTCCCTTAAATTTTTTTAAAAAATTTTAAATTAAAATGGAGATTTCAATAGAAGAAAATCCACGAACCTTATAAGTAAATGTTATAATAACACTAGGCAACAAATTTTAACTTAAAAAAAAGGTCCTGGTTAAAAATAGAATTTTTCGATTGTTTATGACTGAAATAGATCCAAAATGTTTTTAAAAAAAATTTCTGAAGTCGGAAATAAAAAATAGGAGCACAGTATTTTGGTACCATTTATTGCATAGATTTGAAAATTTTAGGATGACGTTACTTTTAACTTATATTTCAGCATTCCATGAACAACATATCTGTACATATTGTAAAAATTTAAGGCATGTTTTTTTGATGTTTACTGTTTTTTATCGTTCGAATTATTTTGTTTACTTATTTTTATCGTTATTATTTAACAATTTTTCTTTGTATCATGGTGCTGCCCGTATCGTCTAAACGAGACTTTGGAAAATTTTTTGGTCGCCGGATTTGCGTCGAGCAGGTGAAAATCTTTAGGACTGTGCTATTTTTATTACCGACCTTTTTTATTTACCAATTTTTATCGTTATTATTTAACAATTTTTCTTTGTATCATGGTCCTGCCCGTATCGTCTAAACGAGACTTCGGAAAATTTTTTGGGCGCCGGATTTGCGTCGAGCAGGTGAAAATCTATAGGACTGTGCTATTTTTATTACCGACCTTTTTTATTTACTTATTTTTATCATTATTATTTAACAATTTTTCTTTGTATCATGGTCCTGCCCGTATCGTCTAAACGAGACTTCGGAAAATTTTTTGGGCGCCGGATTTGCATCGAGCAGGTCAAAATCTATAGGACTGAGCTATTTTTATTACCGACCTTTTTTTATTGTTTACTAGTGTAATTATTGAATTGTGAACTAAAATATGCCTTTAAACAGAATTGCTACCAAAGTAGAATTTTTAGTTAAAATTAAAATCTCTGTTAAAATCTAAACATACAGGGTTTTTCCAGATAATTTTACGTAAAAAAGCTGCTCTTCTTACAAAGTCATGGAGCCAATCATTTTTGAGAAAAATGCTATTAAAAATCTTTGCTGGTGCCTTGATTTAACAAATGTCACCACTGACAAAATAACGATATAACGATATTTGCGAAGCAGGCTAACTTAACTTTTTTCTATTGCCTATACTTGGTAACAAGAACACCTTTTTATGTAACATTATCTGAGGTATTGTATTCCAAGTTCAAGAATTAAAAAAAAAAACAAAAAAAATTATGGGGAGTTTTTTCATGTTTTGCACCCCTATGGTCATTATTAATCCGATTTGACACCACCAGATAATTTCTTTACCAAAAAATACACCAGTAATAAAATATCATTATTTTCACGCTAACCTTTTCTTAAACAATTAATAAAAAACTGATTTAGTTGGGTTGCCCCAGCACCTTTGAATTAACATTTATTTTTTATTTTTTTCCTATTTGTATTTTTAGAAATATTTTAGCGCTTCTTAAAGATTTTTTAAGCGCTTTGATTTAATTAAATACCACTTAAATAACAATAAAACAAGATTTAAAAAACTGAATATTTATTTTATTTTAGTTTCTATATCATCCGCTGGCAAAAGGATACCAATAGCACAAGCTTCCCACCATGTGGAAGTAGTCAGTGTACATCATGGACATGGGGAAGGAGATTACGGGGGTGATGGTGTGTACCAAATTAATATTTTACATTAATTTTTAAACCAAATATTAGGTAAGTAGAGTTTGAACGCTGTAAGTTGATACCGCAACGTCATCAGCCATGCATAGCCCACCATTGTCGAGCGAATACGTTGCGGTATTAAACTTACACGAGTCTTACTCTACTCCTTTATCTAATTGAGACTTCTATCGAAAAATTGTTTTTTTTTAACATTTAAGTCTGATTTATAAACAAACCACATTTTTTAAATTTATTTTAATACAGGGTGCCCAAAAACTAACCATGTGATAGAGAAAGTTCTTTTGAGCGTAAAATAATTAGAAAAAACATTTTTATACGATAACATTTTTAGTTATAAGGTTTTAAAATTAAAATTTCATTTTTGTTTTTAAATATAATACAAACTCATAAAATACATCTTTCAACCATGTCCACTTAAGCTTCATCACTTGATTTGTTTTCAGTTTTTTTAACTTAAACTTTTGTCAGAGAAAAATTTCCTAATATTTCATTCCTTATGGCGATAGAACGTTTTTCTCGTGACACCCTGTATAACAAGAACGGGGCGGCGTTTTATTTTTTATTCAGGAAATAATTGTATGAGTCCATCCTAGAGTGATATTTTCAATTAGATAAAATATATCACATAGGAATTTTTATTCCGCCAACTTAATAATATTATAGCAAAAATTTTAAAATAAGATTTGATTTTAATTTTTATGCCACACTGATATTTTTAATTTAGTAAATTCTTAAATTTGTATTTTCTTCTTAAACAGACATTCGCTTGATTAAAAATTAGATTTAATTTTAATGCCAAACTGATATTTTTTATTTGTTTGGAATAACAGGGGTGTCCAAACTTTCAATCTGAATAAAAAACACATTCAATTAAAATTTTTTTATTTAATAAAATAAAAACTAAATCGAATTAAAATTATCTCCTATGATTTTTAATGTATTTAAAAAATTTTCCTATGATATTTTTAATTAAAATATGTAATTAACTAAAAAATACAAATATTGGAAACAGATATATTAAATTCACTAAATTAAAAGTAACAGTTTGGCATAAAAATTAAATTAAATTTTTAAATATGCACTATGATATTTTTAACCCCCAATAGATATTTATGTATCAAGGCAGTAAATTCGTAAATAGCAAATAAACACGTGAGTGATAAAAAATGACTTTAATGCCGAGGTGCATATTAAATTTTATGCACGATGACATTATAATATGACAATTATAACAAAAATTCTTTGACGTAAACGTCTTTTTATAGCCCGCGGGCGTTATTATGACCCAGCGGGCTATAATGAAACGTCAAAAATAAAAACAACAATGTTACACCATTTGATATATTCGAAGTAAGTTTTTTCGTATAAAGATTTTGATTTTTCCGGCAGCAGGCCGCAATTTTTCGCCTTTTCAGCTGCTTTCTCAATTTCATTCATCTTTAAACTTTAAAACTGACTGATGTCAGTTGACATTATAATATGACAATTACAACAAAAATTCTTTGACGTAAACGTCTTTAAAAACAATAATATATTAAAAATAATAATATATTAATCGTGCATAAAGTTTTGTATGCATTGCTGGCATAACTGGTTTTTATGGTCCGACGCTTTTCGAAATAGCGCCTCGGACCATAAAAACCCTTTTATGCCCTTAATACATAAATAACTATTATCCGAAATAACATTTAAAAATACCTATTAATAATTAATATTGATGATTAAATCAAATGTCATTTGATGATCAAATCAAATGTTATTTGAATGTAGGAAGTGTCTACGTATACTGTTTGTTGCGACGGTTATTATATATATGCCCGCCGCGGCGATTTTTTAATCTAATTAATAAAATTAACTTATTATTTTCATTAAACAACATTTTATGAAAGGGTCCAATCGACCTACGCGACGGTGCTTTTTTTAAAATATTATTTAGTTGCTGCAGAGGAGCAGTAGACACATCTTAAAATGTATAATGGGTTGCATACAATACTCGTATTAAATCGGCAGTAAAGTTCTACTTTATTTATGATATTTTTTATCTAATTAAAAATATCACTTTAGTGTTAACACATAAGAATAATTCCTGAATAAAAACCAAAAGAATGTATATAATAATAAATTATTTTTTTAACATGCAGCTGGAAAATACTCTTCAGGCGCAGAATTAACAAGCTTAGCTCACAGTTCGGCCATCCAAGCCAAAACAGCTGTACAAAACCAGCAAACAGCTGGTAGCCAAGCTGCCTTTGGAGCTAAAAGTAGCTTAGCACAAGCTGCTTTAGGGGTAAATACAACATTCATTACTATCCCAAAATACACTATATTGACTGTAACTACCACTGATCTTATTAACCTAAAAAATAAGAATAAAATTTTACCCATACATTTTTTAAGGCTGCTGCCACTGCCCAAGCCGCAGCTGTGGGCAAACAGGCCATCGTATCGGGCCTCAAAAAACAATTAATCGACGCTCAGCATCAGCTTCAAGCGGAAGTCGCCCAATACCACCAATCGCAAACGGCTGCAGCTGCGACCCAAGAGGCCGCCGGTCAAGCCCAGGCCACCTTAAATAGCGTCACAGCTGCTTTGGCAGCTGCGCAAGGATCGGCACAACACTCAGCCGCAGCTGCATCCGAAGCTAACAACGCTGCCGCTGCACAACATCAAATGGTAATTTTTTTATATTTATGTAAACAGTGGTAGATTTTTATTTTTTTTAAGGTTATTGAAGCTAAGCAACGCGTATCTCAAATCACGAACGAGCTTCACTCAGCTCTTGGCCAACTTGCCGAAACTGAAGTGTCCGCACAAAAAGCTCTATCCGCAGCTCAGATCGCCCAATCTAACGCTGCAGCTGCTGGTGCAGCTGTTCACGTTGCAGCTGAAAGCAGCAATGCAGGACACGGACAAGGCTATGAAGTCAGTCACGGTGGTGATGAAGGTTACCATCACAAATAATAAGGTCATAGTTGTTTAATACTCATTCAATCACACATTTTATCATTCATTGTAATTATTATTATGCCAAATTTTTGTATTAAGTGTTTGTAAATAAAAATATAACACAGTTTTTATGTCTCTAAATAACCACTATACTTTTAGGATACTTAATGAGATAAAAGTACTGGAACTTTTACTAAAAGTTCGACTTTATTTATCAGTACTTCAACATTCATCACAGTTAATTTTAACAAAATATTAACCAGATTTTATGTTAATAAGTTTACAACCAACTGTAATCTGTTAACTAATTGAATAAGTAGTTTGTAATTATAACAAACATTTTGTAGCTTTATTAACAAAATCCTATAGGGTAAAGTAGACAGTTATCGGAGACTTTATAGTTATTGGACAATTAACAATAATACTGTAAAAACAAGAGTTATATAAATAGTTACTTTAAAGTCAAATCATTAGATGAAGCTGTATACAATTATAAATATCTCAGTCGGTAATAATATAGAACTACCTCATTTTGCGTTCAATATAGGACAAAAAAGTTCGCACGTTACTTTGGCGCTAAGATTTTTTTTTTGTTAAGAGCAGGTCTGTGTTTAAATTACAATAAAAAAGTTTCTAAAAAGTGTTCAGATCAGTGTGTGGTATAAATGTGTTCCTTATGGTTTAAACATTGTCATTTTAATGCGTTTTAAGTTTAATTCTAAAAACAAACAGTAAAATGGCCAGTGTCCAATTACTGGTTGGTAAAAAATGTAAATTTCTATTATTGGACGTATGTCCAATATCATACTCTATTTGTATTCCGGACATTTACCAGCCAATTCTTATGTAAAATTGTCCACTGAGTCCGAAAAGACCGTCAAAAACTATAAAAGTTAAGCAGGTTGAGATATAGTTAATTTCATATTATATGTAAAATTGATTATATTTCAAAAACTGTTCTACTTTTATAACTTTTGACGACATTTTCGGATTCAACGAAAAATATTTTATAGGAATTAATTGCTAAATGTCCTGGATACAAATTGCTGTTGACGAGAATTATTAGTGGCTGCTTTTTCGCTATGACATTTTTGACTTATTAATTAAATACAGTGCATAATGGAGAACCTAAAAAACGAATGACAACAAAATTAATAAATTCGGATAATACTTTTAACATACCAACCGAAATTTTTTTAGATATATATATAAATCATCCTGTTTCGGCCTAAACATTATAAATGCTTCACAAACTAGATATACCACACTTAATGATATTTGCAACAAACTATTTCAGAAGTCAGACCAAGGAATTAGTAGTTACCTTCAGAATCCAGAAAAGGGATGATGAAACCGAGAAAGAAATATATAAATTATATATTTACAAAAACGAAATAAAAAAAATTACCTAAAACAGCAATTTATCTTTAAAAAATATTTAACAATTTATGTTTTTTGATGTAAAGTTATGTTTATATAAAAATTGTATGTCCAATAACTATGATCCATGTGTCCAATTACTATACTTTTTTTAATGTTTTTATAATTAAAAATTCAAATATTCTTATTTTTAAGTAAACGTAAATAAAGTATAAACAAACAAACTATTCTTTTTATATATTTATAAGAAAAAAACTAAAATCTTTAAAACAACGCCATATATAAATTTTAAATAAATAATATTTCTTAATTGTTCAATAACTACAAACGACATATATGTCGTTTACTCTTTCAATAATTTAACCATAATTTAACACTTACCAATGTATTTCGTAACTTTAGCCCACTTCACTGTTTCTACTAATTTAAATTTGAAAACCAGTTAGGCATTTTTTTTACACTTCACACTTTGCACACTCGTTAAAAAGGTATAAGGAATTCGAATAACAATAATAACAGATTTCTGGTAATATATTATAAACACTCTGGACAGTTGAATAAAGTATTCTATGTATGTATGTTCTAAGTATTGTCAGTGGGAAATGTTTTGATTGACTCCCTGAAATCACGTGTACTTTTTCAAAGAAATAATTTGTTAAACATTAACAAATTAATCTGTAACCTTTGAAATTAACAAAATGCTTACAAAATTAAATAATACCTTTAAAAAACTTTCGGTAAAATATTTTCCTTTGTTAAAATAATTACAAACCCTGCAGGGTTTCTACAAAAAATTATGTTAAAATTTTACAAAATAAAATTAATAAACTACACACGGTGGTCAAAACTTAAGTATAGGACGAACAAAAATGCCAACCAAAACTGATAGCATATTTTGATTATAGACCCTTTTGGTAACACTAACATGTATTTATCAAAATCCCAGCTGATCCTTTTTTGTTTTCTATATATTATTTTGCAATTATTGTACTAAAACTACCTGTACAATTTTAATAAAATTAAGCAAAATAATAAACTTTGTATCATTTAAATTACTTTACTCCCCAGTATTAATTTATTGAGTCACCTATTATTTTTTACCACTCAAAACAAAAAAACGAAGATTTATATCTTAAATATTTTTTATAACAAAACACTGGAAGTTTGTCTATGAAATAATTACGACTTGCAAATTTTGTAAAACAATAATTAAGGTGGTTATGAAAAAAATTGCTATACGTTATAACGCAAGTGACATTTTGCTTTAGTTGTTTATTTAATGTATACTTTATAAAGTTAAAAATAGTATTTTAAAATGAAAATTAAACCGAAATTTAAATTAAGCCATGAAGAAAATCGAAAGAAGGTATGTGCTGGCTGTGGAGACAAAATTGTTTTTGGTAATCGAAAAATTCAGAGTTTAGGGTTTCTGAGAAAATATAAAAATTACTGCAGACTTTTTCAAACGAACACTTTAATTTAAGTAATTCAAAATTACCTACTTCAATATGGTAAAAACGGTATTTTTGCATAGCCACATTTGCCAAATTTTCAAAATTTAGAAATTACTAGAGAATTTCGCGGCAGCCAAGAATGTATGTGCTTCATCTGCAAAATGGCAAAATATAAAGGGCATACAAAATTATTATGAGAAGAGGACGGACGACCGAACTAAAGTTTTGATATGCTCTTGCTTTATAGGGGATATCGCTAGATGTAAGAAGCATGATTGTACAGAGACTGAAGAATTTAAAAATACTGTTTCCATGTTAAAAACAAATCCATGTAAAACCCAAGAAAAAGCTTTACTGAAAATTTAAGGCAAGCAGTAATCGATTTTGCTTCAAAGAATATTTAGTTATTTATTAGTTTTGTATTAGGTACCTTAAAGCAATAAATAATATATTGCAAAACTGTATTTTACATTATTTTGTATTTATAATGTAATTTATCCAGTCATGTATCTGCCAAATTTTTAAAAACATTTGGTAATGGTACTAGAGTATTTTATCGAAATGGCATAAAAAAATTTAAAATACTAAAAAATATGCAAAACTTTAATAAAGGATCAGTTGGGATTTTGATAAATACATTTTTGTGTTACCAAAAGAGTCTATAATCAGATTATGTTATCAGTTTTGGTTGGCATTTTTGTTCGTCCTATACTTAAGTTTTGACCACCGTCTACATTTGATTTTTATAACAGTGATTGAGGATAAATACTGACGTTAAGTCTGGATAATACAGTAGATTAAGAAATTAAACAAAAATAAGAAAAAATAATTTTAATCTTTAAATAATTACAAATAAATATTGTAATCCACCTTATCTCATTTTTCTTTTCGATGGTGGGATCAAATGAGGGGGCAATTCTTCAGGCAATGGATTCCCCTCAATTTTAACTTTTATTAAATGCATCGCCAACGCAAATTCTTCCGAATCCAGCATTTCATCTTTATCCAAATCAGAGAGCTTCCAAATTCTGCTGAGCACTGAGTTTGGTAGTTTGGATTTGATCATTTCTATTTTTGCAGCTAAAATAGTTTATTGTTTATTCTTTATATTTTAAAGTAGTACAGGGGTGGGTCAAGACTATATCTTGACCCACCCTCCCCAGCAAACACAACCGTAAAGGTTCTATAATGGCCCTTTATAAACGTGCCTTTAATGAGCTAAAGGCCCTATAAAGGCTAACTCTAACGCTAACTGAAACTATACATATTATGTCGCGGATTAAAGGTACAAATGTGACAAGCTAAAGTTTCTGATATGTGATGTGAAAGATTCTCTAGTGGTTATTTAAATAATTTTTAATGGATAAGTGAAGTATCTATTATGGTGGGTATATAAAGGGTTTTCCAATTGGGGCGGGTCGAAGTTGGCGGGCTATGTCGGCCATGTTATTTTGGCGACATTTGTTTAACCCGTTGTTAATTATTCAGTCACTAATGCCAAATCACCATGGCAAGTTACACGATTGAGCAGCACGTCCAAAATAATAAATCTTTATAATCAAAATGAGTGTTCGTCAGTGAAAACTTTGCGCGCATTGCGCCCATTTTACGGCAGACGCGGTGACCCTTCAAAGTCGTTTTGTGACGTTTTGTGAATAAACTCGAAACCACCGGTTCATTAAACAATCAGCCAACACCCTTACGTCAAAGAAACGTCAGATCGGACGAGAACATCGCCGTTGTTCGTGAAAGTGTGCAGGAGAACCCGAGGCAGTCAATTCCCCGCCGTGCACAAGAACTTGGCCTTTCGCAGACTTCAACTTGGCGAATATTGCATAAGGACTTGGGCCTGCACCCGCTATGGACGTAAACGACATGTGGTTCCAGCAGGACGGCGCTACGTGCCACACATCGGACGCCACTATGAACCTTCTGCGTGAACGGTTTGATGGTATGGTTATCTCCCGCAGAGATGACGTGAATTGGCCCCCAAGATCGTGCGATTTAACTCCGCTGGACTTCTTTTTGTGGGGTTTTCTAAAGTCACAGGTCTATGCCAATAAGCCGCAATCGACGGATGCGCTTAAAGCTAACATAACCCAGGCAATCGCTGAAATTCAGCCGGATCTATGCGGCAGACTCATTGAAAATTGGACCACTCGAATTCGTGCCACCGTGAGAAGCCGCGGAGGACATTTGAACGATGTCATATTCCATAAATAATGGCATACATAGTAGGGTGGGCCGAAAAAATTATTTTTTGAATTCAATTTAGGGGTAGCAAAAAAAATTTACCTTATGCCAAAAGTAGTTTGTAAAAAAAAAATTAGCGTACTAGCCCAATATTTAAGGCCCCCCCTGGGCGCCCAAAATATTATTTTTTTATATTTTTTTTGGGGTAGCAACAAAAAGTTACATTTTGTTAACAGTAGTTCTAGAAAAAAAAAATAGCGTACTAGCCCAATATTTAAGGCCCCCCTGGGGGCCCAAAATATTATTTTTTTATATTTTGTTTGGAGTAGCAACAAAAAGTTACATTTTGTTAACAGTAATTCTAGAAAAAAAATTGATTACTAGCCCAATATTTAAGGGGCCCATTTTTTATATTTTAATTGGGGTAGTCACAAAAAGTTACCTTATGTTAACAATATGTCTAGAAAAAAAGTCCGATAATAAATTTGACGTCAAAAATTTGTCGGTTTAGCAAATTCTAGGGTTAAAAATGTTTATAAATTTGGAAATGTTTTTTTTTTAAATAAAAGAACTAAAAATATTTATAAGTCAAGCAGACGACTTCTATATAAGGTTTGGCAAGTTTCCCTTTCACACGCAAGCGGTGAAAAAGTTTGTGAAGCTTGTAACAGAAGCTGCATTACAAATTTGCTGTGAGGTAGCAAGAAATAGTTATAACCATATACGAGCCCTAACAACTTAATGTTCGGACGATTCTAATTTTCAGAAATATTTCCTCATTTCTCATTAAATAAATATTATTTAAATTTAAAATTAAAATATTTTATTTTTTACACGCTTAGAAGTCACATATACTTAAATAAGATTTTATTTAAATAAAAATTGAACAAAAAAAGTAAAATAAATAAAAAATTAACATATTATGTTGGCAACTTAAAGTTCGGACGACTAACGTTTTTAATTTATTGTCATCAAAGTGGCTATGATTTAAGTTAAAGAAGTGTCAAATTAATTAATCTTGTGGCGTTGTTTTATAATGGTCTCCAATTTACCGTGTTAAAAATGGCTCGTGGTAAGGCTACTTCTAAAGAAATTCGAAAAATTGTAATAAAACAGTACCATGAAGGAAAGAGCATGGGAACTATTGGAAAAAATTTAAATTTGGCGAAATCTACTATAGGAAACATTATAAAATGTTATGGGGAAACCAGTGGTTACGAAATTCGGGGTAAAAGTACAGGGCAGCCAAGAAAAGTGTCTCCTAGAATGAGGAGGCAGCTCGTACACTGAAAAAAATATTGGTCATATTATTAAAGAACGCCCTTCATTAACCATGTTTTCATTGAAATAAAGAATTTTTTCATTGATTCAAATAAACACTGTTCATGGATTAACAAGCAAATTCATCAATATTATGCATAGATGTTCGTTAGCACAAGAAAAACATGATCATCAAAATAACGAAAAAATTACCTTATTACAATGAAGTGTTCATTGGCACAACGAATGGTTTTATTGTATCAATGAATTTGTTGCTTATTTTACATTCAAAAAAATAATGAATTATTCATAACATTAACGAACAAAAATCTTTAATTTAACGTACACGTTGTATTGCATCAAAATATTTAAACATTAATATAAAGAATTACGTTGCCAGGGAAGTTTTTTCTTACTATTAACGAATATATTCTTGCACACAAAGAACAGGTTCTTTAAACGCCCCCCTCCACTTTAATAAAGAAGATCAGATTCCACATATTTCCTATTTCAGTTGCAAAAAGTTTTTATGTATGCATGTACTTGTTCCTAAATGTGTGATTAGCGATCACTGTTCACCTAAAGAGGTAAGTCACAATTAGCAATAATTATTTATTTCCAAGCTTATTAATTAGTTAATTTGGAAACTTAAAAACTTCGTTAAAGTGTATATCTGGAAACACAAAAACTAAAAACAAGAAAACAGAGAGAAAGTTAAGCAGGCTTGACAAAGCATTTGGTAGGATTGTTTTTTTTTTTGTTTTTATATCTTAACAAATTTTAGAACCTGAAACGGATGCTGAGAGCTGCCTTCGGGCACTGAAATTTGACAATTTAATGTCAGAACAGTTTGACCATACATGGAAAGCCTGTTGCCAGTTCAGACTGGAATATATCAAATTGCACACGACCGAAGAAGTAATGGATAAATTCCCGTTTTATAAATTCGACTGGTTAAATAATTGCACACATTTTATTTATATTTTTCTCAATCATTGTGTTTCAGATCGAAATTGATTTCAAGATGGCTTTTGGAAAAGAGGATGGCTTATTGAAACAGTGGGAAACAAATTGTGATAGAATTGTTTCCTTTTTAATGGTAGATAATCATGTAAAAGATAAAAATGTAAAAGCGCTTTTACAAAATTTAAACAATTCTTCTATTTCTGAAAGTAAGTATTTTTATTCTATTAGTATGGCCCAACATAAGTACATACATATGTTACTTCTTTACAGATGGGCGAAACGCTGCAATAATCTGGCCTCTACACGGTTACTTCGTACCTACAACCAAATTGATCAAAAAGTAACGGGAAAAAAAAATATAACTAAGTTTACTATAAAAGACTCTCAAGAGGCAGTAATTTTTGTGGGATACAGTGCGCAAGAAGTAGAAGACCATATCTCTCATTTAAAAAGAACCAAAGTAACAATACAACCATCCATTTACACCATCGGCAAGGACATCTTTTCAGTTGAAGATATTATGATTTTTTTTAATAATATTAGGTATAAATTTACTAAAATTTTACGTGCCCTAGATTTGTGCTTTAAACTAACTTATCTCTTTGATTTGGAATTTCCAGAAGAATCCAAAATGTTTTATTCTTTTATCGAAATTTATTTTTTTAAATTTGCTCCCAAAAACAAATTTTCTAAAGTTCAAATTATTATTGAAAGTTTGCAATAGCCATTTTTTTAAATATTATTAACAAAAAATTCCACATTTTTATTTTATAACATTTTATTTAGTTTTTAATTCCAAATATATATTATAATTAAAATTGCAATGTTTTATTTATAAAATTTCCATTTAATACTAAATTTCCAATAATTAGTTATAATTCATTCATTCATTCATAAAATACAGCCTGTTCAGAATAAAACCGAATATATCTATATATATATGGGGCGTGGCCTCGCCTCCCTCCAAGGCGCGTCACAGTTGCTTGTGTGATAAACGACATAACGAAAGGTCGAGCAGGTAAGGACTTAAAAAATTAAATGATAATAATGCAAAAATCTCATTAGCGATGCAGTCTATTTGCTTAGCTACTGTGTCGCGCGTTGGAGGGAGGCGAGGTCACGCCCCATATATATATAGATATATTCGGTTTTAGTCTGAACGAGCTGTATATGAAACATTACATATAATTAATGATTATTATTCATTGAGATGACGATTTTGGTTTATGTATATAACGAACCCTGGTCATAAAGTTAAAGAATGCAGATCACATATCCAATGAATGCTATTCATAATATGAATGAAAGTATTCATCAAATTAAAGAAAATCTGTTCATTAATACCAAGAACATTGTCTTTAAATTAATAAATTTATGTTCTTTGTATCTATGAACAAACTTTCATTAAATTAATGAAAGTATTCATCAAACTAATGAATTTCGGTTCAGTAATACAATGAACATTGTCTTTGCATTATTTAAAGTAGACCTTGACCTAAAGAATTTATGTTCTTTGAATCTATGAACAAACATTCATTATATTAATAAACTTTTTCTTTGGCTGAAAATTAAAGAAAATGTTCATTGATTTAATGCAATTTTACTTTAAATATATGCTAACTTTTGGTTCAGTGTAAGGATTTGCAAATATAATCGAAGAT